AGCTTTGTTGAGTTGAGCTTGTTTGTGTTTAGTTGTTGAGTTGAGCTTTGTTGAGTTTGGTTGAGTTTAATTGTTGGATTGAGTTTTGTTGAGTTGTGCTGGGTTGAGTTTTATTGAGTTTAATTGTTTTGTTAAGTTCAGCTTTGTTGAGTTATGTTTTGTTGAGTTGAGATTTATTGTTGAGTTTTGTCAAGTTTGAGTTGAGTTTGTTGGGTTACGTTTTGTTGGGTTTTGTTGAGTTTTATTGAGTTTAGTTTAATTTTGTTGAAATGAGCTGGGTTGAGTTTTGTTGAGTTTGTTGACTAAGTTAAGTTTTTTTCAGTTTAGTTGTTTGGTTGAGTTTTGTTGAGTTGAGCTTTGTTGAGTTGATCTTTGTTGTTTGGTTGAGTTGAGCAATGTTGAGTAGAGCTTGTTTTTGTTAAGTTGTTGAGTTAAGCTTTGAGTTTTGTTGAGTTTAATTTGTTGGATTGAGTTTTGTTAAGTTTTGCTGGGTTGAGTTTGTTGAGTTTAATTGTTAGGTTGAGTTTTGTTGTTGCGTTATGATTTGTTGAATTTTGTTTTGTAGACTTTTGTTTTGTTAAGCTGAGTTGAGTTATGTTTTTTTGAGTTGAGGTCTGATAAGTGTAATTGTTGAGTCGAGTTTATGTTGAGTATAATTGTTGGGTTGTTTTTTGTTAAGTTAAGCTTTGTTGAAAATAACAGTTTTTTTACATTTGTTGTTGTTTTGTTCTTTTTTGAGCTGAACTGAGTTTTGTGCTCTTGAGTTTTGTTTTGTTAAGTTGATTTTGTTGATTTGAGCTTAGTTTTGTTTTGCTGAGCTGAGTTTTGTTGAGATTTGTTTACTTGTTTTGTTGATTTTTTTGAGTTAAGTTTTGATTTTGTTGACTTATTTGAGTTGATTTTTGTTGAGTTTTGAATTGGCTTTTGTTGAATATTGTTTTGTTGAGCTGAATTTTGTTTTGTTGAGCTGAGTTTTGTTGAGTTTGTTGACTTGAGTTTTGTTTTGTTTTGTTGATTTTTGAGTTGAGTAGTTGATTTTGTTGACTTATTTGAGATGACTTTTGCTGAGTTGTTTTGTTGAGCTGAATTGAGTTTTGTGTTGTTCAGTTTTGTTTTGCTAAGTTGAGATTTGTTGAATTAACTACTGTTGAGTTATGTTGAGTTGAGTTTGGATTTGCTGAGCTGAGTTTTGTTGACTTTTTTTGAGCTGAGTTTTGTTGCGTTGAGTTTGGTTGATTTTGTAGTCTTGTTGAATTTTGTTGAGCTGAGTTGAGTTTTGTTGAGTTGTTATCTGACAAAATACCATCGCTTATACAGTTATTATTTCTACTTTTAAAAAGGTACTGTATTCATAATTTTTTAAAATTGTAAATGAACACAACAGTGAACGAAGTTTGGAGTAAAAATACTAACAGTAATATGTTTTGTTAACTGTTCAAATGTTAAAAAAAATAGAACTTTAAAACAAGTTTTTATTTTTAATTTTAACATAATATTTTGTACAATGTAAAAGAAAATGAAAAAAATTTGCCTAATTGACTAAATAAATCTAAACTCACACAAAGGCTACATCGCATTTAAGTTACAATTATTGTTAGACAACATTGTTCGGAAGTGTTGAAATATTTACATTTGGTGGAATAACCCTGATTTTTCTCTCCCAACAAATAAAAAAAAATTATAATGAGCATCCTTCTGGAAAAAAAGAAGCTACAAATGGCAATATTGTTATTTGGAATTTGGAAGAAATATTATCAGACCATAATAGAAAAGAAAATTAAACATTTACTTTATTTAATAGTCCCAATACTTAAATAAATCATTTTATTCTATAGAAATAAAACGACAACTTAATGTAAAAAGAATAGCTGTTAACATCTAAAATGGTTTTCGCATTTAGAGTTGGATAGTTTAATTAAATTTTTTATTCTTTTAATAAAAAAATCGGGACAGTTTTAGTGTAATGCCCAAGCCTATAGTAACAATAGTACAGGATCTACATATCTATTTGTAATTACTGTTTATAGCAAATAACAACCTCTATATTATATTCATTTCTTTTTGCATATCCCTGATTATTAACGACAACCTGTACAGTACGTTCATCTATTTGTAAATATCTGATTCTTGTTAATACAACGTGTATTATGTTCATAGCATTCATCTGTAAATATTACCCATAGTTTTCTATGTGCACGTTTAACTTCTAGTTATATCTTGCACTTGCTGCTATTCCACTTCTGGTTAGACCTAAACTGCATTTCGTTGCCTTGTACTTGTACATGTGTAATGAAAATAAAGTTAATTCTAATCCAATTATAACAGACATGATGGGTTTACTGAATGGACTCAAAAAAGGAGCTATTTTATATTTTATTTTTGTGCAAACTGACACACTTGCAGACAATGGTTTTACAATGAGATCTAGGAGAAGAGTGGCAGCGTGAGGGAGATAAATGCTCTATAAAGGGCTATAAATAGAGTTTGAGACACACTCTGCTTTAATCGTAGTGTTTGGAGCCTTCAGGGAAAGGACTTTCGTCCTGATGGGAATACGACACACAAAAACACTGAAAGAGCCGCAACTTTCCTAAGAAACATGATCTGTGCATTCAGTGTTAAGTGAGAAGAAAGAAGTGTCGACTACAGGCTGAGGTGAAGAACTGTTAAAAACACCGAAGACAGAAAATGCCTTTGATTAAACACCCTCTGTAAGATTGCTCGTCAAGCACTCTTTAATTAGACTAACGAACGGAGGCGATAATTAAAGTTGCTCGCGCCTCAGGAGCTGAGGCACCCAACCCCCTGTCCCGCAACAGGAAATCTCAACATGTGACTTCCTGTCACTCACACCTCTAGTTAGATTGCTGGGTTTTGAATCTTTTGACAACTTTATATTTAAAAAGTCATGTAGTTTACTGGTAATGTATTAATGTTTTAATCATTCCCGCTAACATTTGAGCGCTGTTGAGCACATTCCTAAACACAGCTTGTTTGGCATTGTGTTCATGTGCTCAACAGAAATGACTGTGATTGGCCAGGAAGGTCATCAGTTCATTGAACTTACCACTGTTTACTGAGTGTAAACACAGATACAGGGACAATGGAGCGTTTCAAAGTCACGTTGATAAGCTGGTTTGTCTAAGTTGACATACGAGCAATCTGCTGATGAATTGCGGCTTCAAAATGCTCCAGTGTCCATGTATCTGTGTTTGCGCTTAGTAAACTGTGGTAAGTTTGGTGAACTGATGACCTTCACGGCCAATCACAGTCATTTCTATTGAACACGTGATCACCATGCCAAATCAGCGCTGTTTGGAACGTGCTCAACAGAAATGTGCTCAAATGTTAGTGGGAGATGGACATTTTTAAAATGTCAGTATCGATTGATATCGAATTCCAATATCGTGACCACCCTAAATGCAAGGTAACTCACAGTTGTCTATCACAATTGATCTGTCTTTAATTTCTACCAATGGGTTTTTATTATTATTAATAGTGCTGTCCTCACGTGTCAGAAATAAGTATTTCCCCTTTTATTGCTTATAAAATTATTTTTTAATAGAAAATTTAAGAAAGTTGCCCAAGTTGGCCACGGACATTTTGTTTCAGGAATGGCAATGAAAGCCAAAATATTGAATTCTATGATGTATTTATCAACCCCAAGTTTTTACTCTTGTTTAAGGGCCAAATTTGATAAGTTGTAAGGTTTAGAGTTCAAAATTATTCACATTTGATTTTTGATCACTACATACTGTGAATATTAACAGTTTACTTTTTGGAAATTCGACTATATAGGACTTAAAAAATAAAAACAGAAAAAAATGGTATGTTATGGTAGTTATAGGTTTAGTAATGTCTTTAACTTTTATTCAGATCAATGCATCCTCCTTTATGCATAGCTTTTTTCATTAAAATTGTTGTGTGCAACAAAATGTTACTGTCAATTAAAAATAAGCTCAAGTTAATAAGAGAATTGCATCACCAAAGTTTGGTTTAGACATAAAAACCAGAACAGAGGTGCACACTGAATAAGCTGCCAGAATGCTAATAAAGATGTTTAAGAACACTGCAAAAAAACAAACATACAAAAAAATCCAAATACCAGCAATAACTGAATTAATGTAGAAGATAGAGGGTAGAAACAAGGGATATCATCAGCCAGTAAGATAACTTTGAATGATTTCTTATAATAAGGAAACAGAGTCTTTAGTAAAGAAAAAAATGTCTTAAAATAAGTATTATAACATTTATTTGAAGCAGTGTATTTATTCTTATTATCTTAAAACTAACTTTTTAAGCAGTTTGTTTTTCTTGTTTTGTGTGAATGTCTTAAAAGAGTTATTTAACAGGAGAAGTCCTCTTAATTTAATAATTGACATTTATATTATCTACTATGTTTTATTCAAATTAAGACTTGACAGTAGTTACAATGCAAAATATTTACTGTTTGCTACTCAAAATACTAAAGATTACTGCAACAAAACATAATGGAATGTATTTTGTCACTAAATATCAAGTATACAGCGAATGTGATTTAGGGCTTTTTTTAATGGGCAAACCTAAAGGGTTAGTTCACCAAAAAATGAACTGTGGAAAGAAACTCATAAAGGTTTAAAAGCTCTTGAAGGAGTATTTTTTGGTAAATTATTCCTTTGAAACCAGTTATTACAGCCAAAATAAACTCTTAAAAACCTTAGTCTGTTCTTAAATGATGTCTTATTGTGATTAAGCTACATTGGCAGGTAAAATACCTTACTTTAGGCTGTACTAATTGAGAAAAAAGATGAACAATCTTTAAAAAAAAGATCTTACAAGTATTGTATTCTTAATACAAGTTCTATTAGATTTTTTTTAGAAATCAAATTGTAAGAGTTGACTGGATAAGGGGTTTTGTGGTGTATGTATTGTTTTCAAGCCTATTTATTCAAAACACACAATGTGTCAAATTCTCAAACTGTTTTTCACAAGTCAGGTTGTGTTTTTTTTCTCTCTGTCAGGTTGTGGTAACAGTGCGCTGAGCTATGATATGTGCCAGGCCGGCTACAGCTCCATCACTAATGTGGATTACTCTAGTGTCTGTGTGGAGAGTATGGCGGAGAGACACAAGGACTGCGCTCAGCTCAGCTGGCTGTGTTTGGACGCCCGTCGCTTGGCCTTCCCTGATGGCGTGTTTGATGTGGTTTTGGAGAAGGGGACTCTGGACGCCATGCTGGTAGAGGAGACTGACCCGTGGAAGATCTCTGAGAACGCAGCTCGATTGCTGCACCAGGTTCTCCTGGAGGTGAGGAACTACACCTGTGCTGTTTTTGAATTGGGTTGAGCACTATTGACCTTGTTTCTCACATACTACTTTTTATGTATAGTCATGAACACACTATAATGTGTCCTGTGACTAAAAAGTGATCATAAATGAATATTTTCTCAATTCAATTTACAAGCGGCTTGGACCCGGAAACAGTATTTCATATATCACGCATAATAAGTCATGACTTAAGAAAAGAATAGCCACAGCTTTATCATTTATGTAGTGTAGGAGGCAGGATGCTTCAGATTGTGGACAACATTTCATTGGACAGGAAAGCAGATGACAAGCTGAAGTGCAGGGTGACGTCATCAAAATCAGAAACCTTTTTTGGAACACTCCTCTAGGGTCTGGAGCAGCAGCTCATTTGCGTGTAAAGAGATGCATGAAAACAATGCTTTTGCTTCTGATCATAAAGGCTTTGATGATATAAATGATCCTTCCTTAATGTTTTGTGCAGAAACGGAAACAAGGAATTGAATCTTGGGACAGCTGAGAGCTATATTAGATCTTGTAAAACAGCACAATCTTTCCCCTTTTAACATATCAGACTAAAGTTTGCTCATGTTTAACATCTCTTATAATCCAGTGTTCTGGTAGTTTTCATGACTTATTTATCAGATAAGGGACTTGACGGAATTATTTTTTTTATTCTTCCTTTTAAACTCAGTTATTTGACTTCCCTCATAAATCTAAGAGAATATTTATGAATAACTTGAGGTTCTGTATGTAATTTGCTTGTCGGTTATTTCCCACAACACTATTCTAGAGCAGGGGTGTCAAACTCAATTTCTGGAGGGCCGAAGCCCTGCACAGTTTAGTTCCAACCCTGCTCCAACAACACCTTTCAAACAAGCCTGAAGGACTCAATTAGTTTAATCAGGTGTGTTTAATTAGGGTTGGAACTAAACTGTGCAGAGCTGTGGCCCCTTTGGAACTGAGTTTGACACCTGTGTTCTAGAGGATGTGCAAGTCAGATTCTTAGTTGTGGCCTCTTTTAGTAAAGAAACCACACTATTTCAATCAAAAGAGACAGTCCCAGGATGCTACACAAAGGCCAGTGTGCCAGTTTGCACAACACTTATAGTGTAGGTTAGTTTGTTATATTCGACTTAAGGTTTTTATTAGAGTTGAGTTTATTAAAAAAGTTTTCTATGACCTATAGGTTATAAGATTGAAAACAAACTTTCTCTGCCGGAACGCTGTGTTTGTTTTGGTTTCTTTAACCCACCCAATGCCATTTTAGCCAATTATATATTTTAGCACCCCAGATTGCCTTGGTGGAAAACCAAGGCAATCTGGCATATTGTCGTATTTCATTCACTCAGTCAGGAAGACTTTCAAAGTGTGCGTTTTTGAACGAAATGCAACCTCCGGTGGGCAGTGCCAAACTCCCAAATGAGACGCGGATTCAGAGCTCCACATGAGGTTATTAATTAGCAAATAATATAAATATTCCAAATGTAAACATTAGGTGAGCAGGTCACATTGTAGCCCTGTGTCCTAATGCAATTCTACAGTACGTGTCGAGATTTACTGTGATAAGCAATTTGGCTGTTTGCACCAGATGAAATATGACAGAAAATTAAATACATCCATTCAGAAGCACAGAATAGTGCACTCACTGCACTCCAACAAAATGGTAAGTTTTATATTCTAATTAATACATAATAACCATCTTTACCATTATTAAATGTAGATGATGAATCACTAATATAAGTCACAATTCTGAAGTTCAATTTAAGACGTTTATTTTATTTTCAGGATCTGTGATGAACTATCTGCTGCTGCTTTTAGTATGGCAATAAATATCCTGTAAAATGACGTTTAAACTCACATTGTTAGCATTTAACACTGTGTACCTGAGGCGACAGTTTTCTGTTATTCAGTGGCAAGAAATGGAAGCTGTTCTGTTGGTTAGAACAAAAACTCCTTTTAATATGGAAAATTTTTCTTCTATCGTGTGCCATTGCTTTAACATAGAAAATTTTTATGTCTTAAATCAACCTTTAGACTCGATAGTCAGGCAAGCTCCTGTTTGTGTCCTCAGTCTGACAACTTGCGTGGAAGAGTCAGAGAAAATGTGTGTTGAACTTACGCACTGCACCTTTAAAATGTAGAATGTAAATTGGTCTGTAAAAATGGGCAAATATGATCAGAATCTAAAACCGTTTTTTTATTGTTGTTCTAAAATGCAGTGTGTTCCTGTGATGTTTATCCAGAATTTTCTGTCCTAATGTTTTTTTATAGAAACTGTAAGATTTTTAATAACTAATATTTAGTATATTTTAGCCCATTCTTAATGAATAAAAAAGTTAGAATACTCTGTATGTTTTAATGCCTCCATACCTTTTAAAAATTCTAATAATAAAGGACAGTTTACCAAAAAAGAAAACTGTCTTCATTTACTCATCCTCTACTTGTTCCAAACCAGTTTAAGATTTTGTGTTCAAAATTTGTATAAATGATGACAGAATTGAATTTTTTGGTGAACTATCACTTTAATTTAAGCTATTTTTAAGTTAAAGGGAAAACGAAACAAAGTTATCCAATCATCGGCTACTTTATTAGGTACATTTCACATGTACCGGGTTGCCTTCAGAACCACCTTAATCCTTCGTGGCATAGATTCAGTAAGGTACTGGTAATATTCCTCAGAGATTATGGTTAATTTTCACCTGATAGCACCACGCAGTTGCTGCAGATTTATGGGCTGCACCTCCATGATGCAAATCCTCTGTTCCACCACATCCCAAAGATGCTCTATTGAATTGAGATCTGATGACTGTGGAGGCCATTTGCGTACAGTGAACTCAATGTCATGTTCTAGAAACCTTCTGAGATGATTCGCGCTTTATGACATGGTGTGCTATTCTGCTGGAAGTAGCCATCAGAAGATGGGTACACTGTGGTCACAAAGGGATGGACATGGTCAGCAACAATACTCAGGTAGGCTGTGGCATTGACACGATGCTCAATTGGTTCTAATGGGCCCAAAGTTTGTCAAGAAAAATTTACCACACCATTACACCACCACCACTAGTCTGAACTGTTGATACAAGTCAGGATGAATCCATGCTTTCATGTTGTTGATGCCAAATTCTGACCCTACCATCCGAATGTTGCAGCAGAAATCAGGACTCTTCAGACCAGGCAACGTTTTTTCAATCTTCTATTGTCCAATTTGGTGAGCCTGTGTGAATTTTAGCCTCAGTTTCCAGTTCTTAGCTGACAGGAGTGGCTCCCGATGTGGTCTTCTCCTGCTGTTGCCCATCCGCGTTAAGGTTTGACGTGTTGATGCTCTTCTGCATAGCTTGGTTATAACGAGTGCTTATTTGAGTTACTGTTGCCTTTCTATCAGCTTGAATCAGTCTGGTCATTCTCCTCTGGCATCAACAAGGCATTTGCACCCACAGAGCTGCCGCTCACTGGATATTTCCACTTTTTTGGACCATTCTCTGTAAACCCTAGAGATGGTTGTGTGTGAAAATCCCAGTAGATCAGCAGTTTCTGAAATACTCAGACCAGCCCATCTAGCACCGCAACTATGCCCCTTTTAAAGTCACTCAAATCACCTTATTTCCCCATTTTGATGCTCAGTTTGAACTGCAGCAGATTGTGTTGACCATGTCTACTTGCCTAAAGGCATTGATTTTGCTGTCATGTGATTGTCTGAAGGTTTTGGAACAGTTAAAGGATGAGTAAATAATGCTGGAATTTTCAGTTTTGGGTGAACTATCCCTTTAAGTGAATCAGTACTGTACTCTCAAAAGCCATGCCCACATATTTATAAATTTTACCAAGAGAGCTGTAAAATTACCAGCACTTTGATTTTAAGCAGTCTACCTTTGGCAGCTCGCTTAAATCAGGAGAAGCATTTCATGAATGCCGGTCGCATGAGTCAATTTTTCCCACTTGGATAGAGGTTTGAAGAACTTCCACATCTGTCACATCCCTTAATGAAGATTGCAGGAAATCACAGCACGGCCGACGTGCTAAGAGCATCTGACTCATGTTTAGTCACATAAGATGCGAAATGTTTTTTCCTTACATCCATAAATGAGTGATTCAGACCATATGTTATTAAACTCGCAGGCGCTGAGAGGCTTTCGCTCAATCCCACAACGCACTACTACTAAGAATTATTCATCATGTGTCACAGCAAGGGCCACAGCAGCTACAGCATGTTGTTTACATCTTAAAGGCCTGCTAATAGTTGTTTTGGCTTTTGCAAATATTTCCGTACGATCTAACCCTTCATCACAGCAGAAATCACAGAGCCATTTATATTTCATCTCTTTCTCTCGTGTTAATAGCGTAGCAGTCAGTTCAGTTTCCTCCCTTCATAGTTTATTCATCAGTATGTCAGAGCAGCACAGATTAGCCTGGCAGTCTGTGTGTGTGTGTGTGTGTGTGTGTGTGTGTGTGTGTGTGTGTAAGTGTGTGTGTAAGTGTGTGTGTAAGTGTGCGCATGTGTGTGTTTCAGGATCGCTTTGATGCAATTCATATTCGGTTGACTGCAACAATGCCAAAATACATACACACTGTAAAACCCAACAGTCAACTTTATCAAATGAAATGTGTAGTTACTCAAAATTGACTGAAAGTTAATTCTACTCATTTAAAAAGACTTTTGAACTCCGTGTTGAAGGTAATGAGTTAAATAAATACCTCATTACTTGAACTCAAAGGGCACCTAGGTTACCAGATTTAAAGGGCACATAGTTTAAGATTTAATATTAATATTATGGTTCTTCTGTGTGCTAGTTTAGGTTCAGTTCAAAACACAATTCAGATTTTTTATTATAATGTGTTAAAAGTGTCATTTTGGGGGCGTGTACACAGCTCGCTGCTTTAGGGGTGTGTTGCTTTACATGAAAATTAGTTTCAAATTCCCACCCAATGTAACAAGGGGGCGGAGCCAAGAGCTTTCCTGCTCTGTTTGGCAACAGACAGGCAGACAGAGAGAAGCAGCATGA